AGGGACTAAAAATACTGAATTTGCATCAAGTGAAATGCATGGCATAACAGTTATGCTTAATAGCTACCTTTTAGGAAGATTTTATTCCATCTGTTAACTTATAATAGAACAAGCAGCCTGTCGGCTGAGATAGCTCCACTGTTAGCAATGCACATTTCAATTAAAGAACTAAAGATATTATTAGAAAATGAACAATATGTATAGTATCAAAGCAATCAGACTTGCGGTTTTTAACAAGAAGTCGAAAATATCACTTTTTACTAAAAATAACAAAAATATTCATCAAAATTAGAGAATTGAATGAAACATCATGAAATGAACAAATCTAAGAGAGGTCTACTCATGACAAATGATACACCAAAGTATTCAGGTTTCAAGAAGAGGTCGAAAAAGGAAAAAAAGTAAAAAGTTGACACGAACGACGACGGACGCTGACAGACAATCATTCATATGATAAGCTCCACTCGACAAAGTCAACAGCGGAGCTAAAATATTTGAAATATGCAAATTAGCTAATTGATATGCATACAATGGGAAGGAATTGAAATAGGAAAATTAGGTAATTCACAAGCACAATAATTGCGTGTGAGAATAAAATTAAAGCAATCTTGCTATCAATTCATAAGGAAATTAACAAAAACAAGTATTTACATGTACAGTACCAAATGTGGATTTTACAAAAGTAAATGTACCAATACAACCTCTTGGGTTTCTTCACAGAATGATAAACTACAAATACTACTCTGTACATATTTCAAATTTACCATTTATAACAACAAATTCTACGTTGACATGATGTTTTCTTGTTTAATCACTGGTTTAGCTTGTAAGTTTAAAATAGCATGGATAGTGTTCTGAGCCGCTCTTTTAGCAGCGGACTCGCTATTTTCCTCTTCCTCATTTTCACTGTTGTCGCTACCTTGGTTACCCCTAGCTGATTCCTTGCCTTGTTCAACTCGTTTATTCAGATTCACAGACTCCCCACTTTTGCTCGTCTTCTTACCACCATCATGTTGAAGTTGTTTATATTCCTCCTCATAAGCTAGGGCATGTTCTTGCGCAATTCTTAAACCTTCATCCATTAACATATGTTGCATTAGAATTTTTTGGGTCTGATGATGGTTTTTCTTGACTGATCTGTTCGTCTTTTCTTGCTTACTGTTCTCTGATGGTTCATTGCATGGGGATGATGCTTGACTAGAGCCACGTGTACTGTGACCATGATGCAAGTCTAGAGTAACAGATCAAATGGACAGATATTCACTAAACGAGATAAGATAAATTGTTTGCTTCGTTTCACAATTTTTCTGCCCACTCCGTCAATAGATTAACCAATCACAAAATACAGACCTTTTTTTCCAAGCAAGTGATTTACTTACTCAAAATTTTGCCTAGAGTTAACAAAAAATATTTTTTTTTTTTATTTTATACATGCAAATTATTTTTCAACACAATAAAATAACGAGCATCAGTGCTTTTGGAGAGCTATTTTTCACTCTCAAGCCATACTAAAAAATTTTGGAAATGCATTTTTAAAATTTTTTTTTCAACAATTCAGGCACTTTCAAAAATAATTATTTGTTCACAATCCAATTAATGGAAGTATTACGATGTTAAATCTAACCTGGATTGTCAGGGTTGTCATTATCAGCCAAGCTGCTATCGCCATCACAATCATCATCATCATCGTCATCATCATCATCATCTTGGTCAATGTATCCATTCTCACCTGGATCAGCAGACAATCTAGCTTTAGCAACATAATACCTGCACAAAAACGTACAAAAACTTTAGTTAATCAAACATAAAACTAATTGTAATAAATAGAAGGCCTTATTAATGAGTTCTAAAAGTCACAAATTGTGGTAGTATCCAGCGGCGTAATTGTTATCCTATAAAGCCAATACTTTGAAATACATTAGATGTTGTCAAGTTTTTGAACCTTACTGCCAACTGGACTTTATTTTCTAATTGATAGTGAATTGTACCCCAAAATGTGCAACTATATGGAGGTCATGCAAGCGACTTATCGATAATGAATTTGTACCCTTGTAAAGTACCAGAATGTACAATCTTTTGAGGGTCATGCATAAGGCTAACAAAAATGCACATATTAAGTTGATATTATTCTTTTCTCTTCTACATGTGTCCATGAGTAAAAAGTTTTTTAGGATAAAGGATTCAGGAAAAAACGAAAGACAATAGGATTATTGTGCAACACAGCAACAACGAATGTGATTTTAACATATTATTATACAAAGCATAAATACAATTGAAGTTGGGGGTTGTGAGATGAATGTTGCAATAATAGTATAAACAGGCGAAACATCACTCACTGATGCTAGTGAAATCAATGGATTGTTACCACACACAGGTTTACTCGCCTTTAACTTAACAACCAAATTACAGAACAATTCCAGTAGTGTAGCTACATTTAGCACAATGTTATCATTTGAAGAGATGTGAAAATGTTAATAACTTTTAAACGCTAAAGTCACCTTTCTAAAAAATAAAATATTGTTTCCAACATAAAAATGCGTAAAATGTAATTAAATTGATTGAATGCCACAAACTTTTAAAATAACATTTTGATTATAGATAATTTTTCTAAAAAATTTTTTTTTTTAATTTTCAAACAAATGTACATATAATTTTCAATTATAAACAGGTCCCAATTAATCATTTTAGGGGAAAAATTATGAATCTTTATTAATGTGAAAGGTACGAAAAGTTGACTTTGGCATTTAAAGAGTTAATTGGCACTAGCATGCATCAATGAGAAGGTATTAGCTATACCTGTCTGACCTTCTTTGTCTCTTGATTAAATCAGTCTGTTCCGTCATCAACGAAAGCTGCTCAGCTGTTAACTTCTCGAGCTTCACTTGTAGATCATAAATCTTTGGTAGGTCGTCACTTCCCTTTGCATCTTCTACCAGTACTTTTATTGAGTCTTGTTGCTTTTTTATCATTTTGAGAGCTTCCTGGATTTCATTCATTCGTTCCTAAGGGTGACAGAAATCAGGTATATGATAGCTATCACCTCTACATTGGGAGAATCCTGTAACTATCCTTAATTTGTTTTTCCTATTAAGCTTTTAACACCTTTTATTTTTAATTTTATTTTATAGTCTAGCTACTGTATTTTTTCTTATGATTTGTATTTTATTTACCATACTGCGCCCTCTGATGGCATAGTAGTGTAATAAAGTTATTATTATTTGTTTTTGAGTAAGCTTTGTTAAGGTAGAATACTACTCAACAGTATTTACATAAACTTCATGTTACAAAAATAAAGAAAATGTATTATGGGATTATCCTACTCAGTTCTGAAAAAAAAAAACACAGTGAAAATAGCATGTTTTAGCATGTTTGGTCTGTTTTTTGGCATTTCAAAATTGTTCTCTATGGCAAGGATATATCTCAATATCTAAATAATTGAGCATATGAAGAAAAGACAAGTCATTGTCAATGACACGTCCCCGTTCCGTTCATATTTGAGTGACCATATACATTCAAAGCAGATCATGACCGAAATGCACCTGCATATGTACAACACATTGTGCTAAATCTGAACAAAATCCATCCATGCATGACTGAGATCCGGGTTCTGGAATTGTGAAATACGTGATTTTGATGCATTTTCGGCCTTAAATGGCCATCATTCCGCTATTGTTAAGCAGATCATGAA